ATTCTGTAGGAAACCGTGTATGGAACTTGACCATAGTACCTTCACTGTAATCGCGCTGTATAAAAACTTTCTCACAGCTCTGAGGAGGCCCTCCACCTGCCTGCCCTCGTCCCGCGGACATGTCTTCCAGCGGTGTGAGGGCAGCATGATTACCCTAAAAAAATACAACATCGCCATATTTATTACAAATTATTAAGTCTATTTTTTGTAATACCAATGTACAGACTATAATCTTATCTTTCAAATATAACAATATAATAAATTTTCATACATGTTAATAAAGAGCAAATATTTATTATGGATATTAATATCAGATTCTTGTACAATAACGTACTTTTCTCTCGTAAATAATCTCTTCAGGCAGTACACATAATGATTTCTTCGAGCTCTGGCTCTATAAAATAAAATGTAACGTCGCATAACTATCTTTGAATTTCTTGGAAAGACTGCTATTTTCATCTGCTTCTTTTTACAAATATTAGAACATATACTTAATACATTCTCACACTCTCAACATCAATAAGCATTGCATATCACCCTGATATTGGAAACATTTATTTGACATTAGCGTTAACTTGTAGTATACAGACATACTTTTCTGTCATTACTAATCCCCTTAGATTACATTCCGAACAAATTCTCTAAACTCTACGCATAAAATAAAGCTTAACGCTGATGTTTCAACTCGCTTTGTCTCTCGAAAACTCCCTTTCATCCTCGCATCACTCATTGAGCTTGGAGTTAACCACAAAAACCGCACCCAGCTCCTACCTCGGAAATCGTAAGGACGGGCAGTCGCATCTTCGCTCCGTTTCGTAGCTACAATCGCTCCTCGATCAAGAATCGTGGCGCAGAGAATTGATTTTCGAGGAACAGATCGCAAGAGGGACAGCCAAGCAAAACACTTTTCACGAATGAGGGAATGACAGCCAGATGAGCCAGAAAGAGGCGCTTATGAGTGAGAAAGATACAGAGAGAAAAAGAGAGAAAGAGCGCATGGAAGATGGACTCACCAGTGGCATTTTGAGCTTCGTCTTGCCGGTTAGTTGCCGTACGCTCCCGACGAAAGCCGAGCTCGACCGTTGCCGTCGCGCCCGCGATTGCCGTGATTTCTTCGATGCGAATCAACGCGACGAGGACTCGGTCTCGAAAAATCGGCCAAGGGATCGCTGTCGTCTGCACACACACGAACAGACCCCACGGCTCCGCAACTCGCGGTCGCCATGAACGGTGCGCGCGCATGCGAAATGCGATATTCGCTCTTTTCCCGCCCCGCTCTTCATCCCACATTTCATTCCATTTCCATTTCTTTTCATGGATCGACGTGAGATGTTTATAGTGTTTACATGTGTAGCTTTCGAGTTGTGAGAGAGGAAGATTAGAAAACGTTGAAGGTACAGAATTCAATTAACCACAGAATAACTTTTGTCCCAGAATCCGTTTTTTTTTTTGCGTCGCGATTTTTTGCGCGCTTTTTGATATTTGAAACACTGAAAATTAAATGTTTCACTTTCGGCATGGATGACCAGTAGCGGGATTCTCTAAGCGTCTTATAACTAGCTACGTCTTATAATTAACTAACTAGCGACAGCCAATGCCAGAACAATGGAAGAAAACGCGGTTCTCTTGGCTGTCGCTAGTTAACGACAATTGTCGATAAAATGTTTAGAGAATCCCACAACAGATCTTATCTAGGACATTTCTGATTGAAAAGTAGTACAAAAGTAGGACATTATTGTATTCAGTAGTAGCAAAAAAAATGGCTTTAATATGATATAATAATTTAAATTTTATTACAGATATGTAGTGTCTACCTATTTTGCTCGCTCTCTCTCTCTCTTAAAATACACCTGAACACGTTAAAAATCTGGCCAGACATCTCCAGACGCTTTAAAAAAAAAAGTACATGTCCGGAAAAAATCGGACGTCTGATCACTCTATTCATGTGTGACAATGACCTCTATTACACGGCATGCTTAATCGGGTTTAATAACATCCATAGTTGTGAAATTAGCCAGATTATGGCTGTTTTTCGGAAGATTGTAATGATTGTGAGTGTTTTCCAACAATGTGCACAGGTGACACAGTGTAACACTGTTTCTTATACAAAATGTTCCAACGATGACATAGTGTTACATTGTTCGACACAGTAAAAAGCTAAGTATGAGTGTAAAATATGTCAATGTTATCAATTTTTCCAAAAGTTATTTGGTAGCCGTACTTATTTTACAATAAAATCTTCAAAAATCGCCAATTCTGAAAAAAATTATAACTTAAGTCTAAATAAAAAATATAAATCTATTATTGATACGCTAAATATAATTACAAGAATAGAATGGAAGACTGCAATGCATTCTGGTGTTACACTATGAAACTAAACTGCGTTCCTATAAGTACTTTACACAGTGGAACGCAGTGTAACAACTTTATGTTCTAGCTGGTAAGCAGCCTGTGATTGGTCAGTTTCATAACTACGGATGTTATTAAACCCAATTAAGCGTGCCATGTAGCAGAGGTCAGTGTCACAGTGGCCTAGTTTTCACCGAGTATTCCCCTGTTATAATCGAACGATAGGGAAATGCTCGACTGTAAATTGGTTGGTTCTTACATTCTGATCCGGTTTAAACCCTCGGTGGAAACAAGGCCAATGACTTAATAGCATTGTTCGTTTTGTCTCTCGAGAGTTACTCGGGGTCGCTCCGAATGAACTCATCGTATTTGAAATATAGGATTCATACTACGTACGACATCCGTCATACGACATTCATTATTATGATGTCGGACGTATGACGGATATCATACATAATGTGAATCCTATATTTCAAATATGGTCAGTTGATTCAGAGCGATCCCGAGCAACTTCCGAGAGACAAAACGAACAATACTAATATATATTCCACGCTCATTTCAAAGTCTCAAAAGTAGTACAAAAACAGAGTACACGTTGAAAACCTATCCAAACGCCCGAAAAAAAGTGTATATGAATACGTTCTGATATTCACTGCCTGTGCTGAAAATCTATAGCGTACGTATACGTAACGTACACTGGGCTACGTTCAGGAATTACGTCCAATTGTAGGGGCGTGATTCCATAACTGTCTTTACACGCATACCGACAGTTATCGGTGTCGTTGCGCAGATATTTTATATAGTGAAAAAACTGTACAACGACATAGACAACTGTCGGTAGTAAATGTAAAACAGTTACGGAATCGCGCCCCAGAATTCTCTAAATGTTTTATTGATAATACGCAATCGTTAGCGATAGCCAATGAGTGTTGCACTTTCTTCCAGGATAGTCTTGCCATTGGTTGTCGCTAGTTAACGATATCAACAATTGTCGATAAAATATTTAAGGCCAGTTACTTTATCCGTCGATTAACTTTGAGTATTGCCAACTGCTAAACTGAAAACTCATTATTTCTAATCTAATTTCGAAAATATGTATTTGTAAATAATAGTCAAATATATTTACATTTCAATGTTTTATTTATTATCTCCACACAACTTTTTCTTTACTATTACCAGAGAGAAACCTCAGAAAGGACATGACGGCCCAAAACTTGTAACCGCAAAATGCTGCCACGCATTGCTGCTCTCTGACAAAGTAGATGTAAACTACATAGCAACGTCCACTTTTCTTAGGGTACATTGTCTATTTTTCAAGGCTGGAAATGATAAATCGATATTTGATTCGTATAATTGTACTATACGTAACGATGCTAAACCATCACTTTAATCATCTTTAAAAGTTTTTTCTGTTGAACATTTAGTATTATATAGTAACACACAGTATAGTAATAGAATAGTATATAGTAACAGTATAGTAACAGTATAGTATATAGTAACAAGTATAGTATTGGTAAATTATAGTGTAGCATATATTGTAACGAGATTGAGGGTGACAATAATAGCGAAGTAAACGCAAGGTGCTTTCTTGTTTTCCAGCTTTATTGAGAATTCTTCTAGAATATTTCTCAGTCGATTTTAAATACTTTAGCCATTCGAATACAATCGAGTTTTTTTGAAAATAAAAAATAAAAATGAAGCAATATCGAGTGAATCGGAAGTTATATGTAATTATATATCCAAAGAAACAGCTGAAAAAATTAAAGAGGAGGTGTGAGATTAAATTAAAAAATTTTTTTAATTAAATGTATTATATTGAAATACAATTTATTGACATTAATATTAGAGCATATCAAAACATACAGAAATGGTGAATAATTAATTGAAAATTGAGTAACATTATTCACTGAATGACTTAAACGCAGCAAAGTAAGACATGGCAATTCGTACTACCTTAAATCGAATACAA